TTTTGTAAAGGTGCCCGCTACGTTCTTTTAGGAAGCCTCGTGCGAAACTCGTGTTTTTGCAAAGGAAGCCTCAGGCGCGCCGAGGTTCTCGCGCGACGAAGGGGTGTGTTGTTTCAGGAAGCCTCGCGCCAAACCCGCTTTGTTTGGGATCAAATGTGCTTTTTGCAGGGCCGCTACGCGGTGGATGCCTCTTGTCGGGTCAGGCCGCGACGCTTGGACAATCGGACCTCTAAAGCCATGGCAGTTGTCGCAAAAAGTTGTCTTGCATGTGACAGCTTGGCATGAAACGGATCTTTCTTCAAAACTGTGCTCTCGGTGTGGCGCCGCATTCTGCGTTTTGCGTAAATATGTTTTGCGCTGCTGCTAGGGGTTGCGTGGCAAGCGCATATTCAGCAACAGGTTCTGAGACTCTCGTGGCAGGCGCAGGGTTTCGCACATTTGCATGCGTTGCAAGACGAAAGTCAACCCTCTGCGGGGATCGTGCGCGTCGAAGCGCTCTCGCGGTGGTGCCGTGCGAATGTGTCCATGAGGGCAGCCAACCTTCTGCACAGATCGTGCGTGTCGAAGCGCTCTCGCTGGTATGCAGCTCATGGACACCTGCGCAATCGCAACGTGTACGTACAAAGCTAGCGCAGAGTGCACTCCCGCAGCTCCGGCTCGAAATTTGCAACTTCTAGGTGGAAAAGTAGTATGGGAAGGGCGTTCCGCACAACAGTAGTCTACGCGAAGTGTGCAGGCTCCGGCTGCGCAATCGCAACTTTGACGTACAAGAGTAGTACGCGAATTGCACTCCCGCGTGTCCGGCCGAAATTCGCAACTCCTAAGTACAAAAGCAGTTCGCCCAGTACATCCCTCAGCTTTGGCTGAAAGCTCGCAAGTTGTAAGTACAAAAGTAGCACGCGAAGAAAACTCCAAAGCTCAGGCTGTACAAAATGTAGTACAGCGCACTCCCGCAGCTCTAGCGTGAAATTCGAAAATCGCTTTTTTCAGCTCAAAAGTAGCACACGAAGTGCGCTCCTGCAGCTCCAGTTCGGAAATTGGCAAGACTTGGCAAGTTTTACGTGCAACAGTCGTACGCGAAGTGCGCTCCCGAGCTCCGGCTCCCAAGTTGCAACTTTTTAGTGTCAAAGGAGTGTACGAAGTGCGTTCCCATGGCTCTGGCGCGAGACTCGCAAGTTTTAAGTCCAAAGTGGTACGCCAAGTGCATTCCCGCAGCTCTGGCTACAAAATAGTAAGTGGCTACATGCAAATTTAAGGTGCGAAGCATTCTCCCGCAGCTCCGGCTCGAATCACAACTTTTAGGCGCGAAAGCATTGTTCGGAAAGTGCGCTCTCGCATCTCCCGCTCGAAAAGGTCGCAACTTTAAAGTGGAAAAGCAGCACGCCAATGACACATCCGTATCTGCAGCACGAAAACCACAACTTGTAGCGCCAAAGTGGTATAAAACTTCGCAGCTAAAACCGCCAACCTTTCAATAGAGGACAAGAGAGATTTGGCAAGAGAGGTTGCAGAGCATCATGCCCAGCATCATGCGCTGCATGGTGCGCAACGCCATGCGACATCATGCGCAGCATCACGGGCAACATCACGCACAGCTTCGCGCGCAGCATGAATGAGCCAGAGCAGCGCGCGTGCGCGAGAAGTTGACAGGACAGCTTGTGAAGCATGATGCTAAGCTTGCTCATCAGAACTCGCAGAAGCTACGCTTGAGCAGGGACATTATTGTGTTTACGAAGCGTCTCTCATCAGGTGGGAGAGGCGCCAGGGTTTATTTAACGTCTTTCTATGATTCCGGGCCACCTGTCGTCAAGTTAAACCCAACATTTTTTGGGGGAATCATGCTTTTTGGGCTTTAACGAAATATTTGGCGGGGATCTCAAAATAAAAGTAGCGTTCCGGCTTCATTGCTTGTCCTCACTGCGAGGTCTGACGTAATGAGAAATCTGATTACTTCGTGGCCGCCCGAAGAAAACCAGCGCAGCGCCAAATACCTTTAGTCGATGCCGGAACGAGCCAGGCCCATTGCGAAAAAGAAACCACCCCCTCATTCCAGAGGCCGCACAGGGGGATGCCCGTGCAAAGTCTCACTTGGCAAATGGAACTGTAGCTAGGGCCCTGCGGGATAGCAATGCTGCCGGCAAGCCCAAGGTTTGGACGCTGAAATTTTTATCTCGTCTAACTCCAGAATTCAGCACGCGACAACCGCAACCCTCGGGGGCAGACTGTGGCGGTGTGCACCGTGAGGAGAGAGAGTAAAGCGGGGGAGGGATTGGGCAGCTGTTTCTCTCTTGGTGGATGGACATCCTGCTTTCCAGCAAATTGCAATTTGTGGTGATATTTGCATGAGCCATTGATGCTTGCATGAGGTGGTCATACAAATTAGGGCTCATTGGGGCCGTTTGAACATCAGGGAGCGCCTTTCTTTCTGGGCGGCAGGCTTCAAACTAGACCCAAAGCCAAGTGAGGTTGTATGAAAACCCCGCGCCTTTACATTCTGCAAGTCCTCGTCCGGAGGGGAGGCGCATGTGTGGAACGCCTGTAAAACTTCGAGGAAGGAAACAAAAATAACGCTTGTTGTCCTACTACTACTACTACTACTGCTGCTACTACTACTTACTCGTACTATCTTACTACTACTGCTAGTAATACTACCACTACCCCTACCACTACCACTACTACTACTACTACTACTACTACTACTACTGCTACTACTACTACTACCACCATCACTACTACTTCGACAGCACTTATTGCCACTACACTACAACTACTACCACTACTTCTACAGCAAGTGTTACTAATACACAACTACTGCTTCTACTACTACTTCTACTACTACTACAGAGTATCATCTAATGCCATGCTTCCAAATACCTGTAACACGAGAAGGAACAAACAGAACGATACCGGTGTTGAGGGTCAATCAAAGGGGTTCGGGAAGAAAGGAACCTTCAGTTCATACCTCGTAGCAGGGAGAAAGGAGTGACAAAGTGGAGACCTGTTTTTGCAAACCGGTGTTGCCTGACGCCTCACGACTCCCGGATCGAGGGCTGTGGATCGGACTCGCGGCATTCTCGGGTGCTCAATCTCGTGGCCTGCCATTCCTGACCATACTCAAAAATATGAGTAGATGGTACTGCCATTTTAGTTTCTCAAATGGTTTTGAGTGGACCAGCTTAGACCAGGTTTTGCATTTCGGGAAGTGATTTGACCCCTGCCAGCTCAGGCTTTGTGGTTGGTCATGTTGGTTGTGGCAATGTCACAGCCGCAAGCAGAATGGCGCACACGAGCTTGATGCTCCAGGAATCCTACCTGGGCTCCTACGACTGTTTGCTAACATGGGATTTTGATGGGGGAGTGGTTCTTTTTGCAAGTCGGGGGAATCCAGCTGAGCTTATAAACCGCGATTTGACTCAACAGTGTTGGGTTTGCCCGTCCATTTGCACAAGGTGTTTATTATTTGCCTGGCTGGAGATGGTCAAAGGCCAACAATTCTGTTTTGGCTTGGGTCACGGCTGTCAATGCCACTCTTTGGGGTTCTGGAAGAGCCCCTTTTTGTGAAAGCAGTTTTCCTGTGGTCCCAGTCATGTTCTATTGATAGTGCCAATGTTAACCTGAAAAAATACTCCAATCAACAAATTATATATGTATATATATATATATATATGTATTAAAAACATAGATTAACAATTAGAGAGATGCAGATTTCAACATCACCTTCAGCAAAACAGAAGTGCAGGCTTGCAGCATGTGCCGTTCTTAGATCTCCCAAAGGTTTGCCCCTCCGGCAAATGACGAGCAGCAGCCCTGCATCTTGCGTCGGTTCCTGAACTCTGTCCTTATTTCATGAATTGCGCAACGGACAAACTTGTTGGCAGTGTTTTGCCGAGGACGAGAAGGGCACACTCAGATTGGACCCTCACAATCTCGCCCAATTTTCTATCAACCGATCAGTTTGGGGCTCCCATGTTCATCGCCGCAGGAGCCAGCCACAGAAACCGCGCTTTTGGGGGGCTTTCAGCCTGCGGAGCAGCGACAAAAAATGGCACACTCTTAGTTGTTTTCTCCGAAAGCCAAAAGGATCTATCCGAAAAAGGGGAATAACGCCATTTGTTGCGCAAGCATTTCTGACTTCCAAAGACCAGAAGGGGGATCCAGATTTTTGGGACAGATGCTGAAGCTGCAGAAACTGCTTCAGAGCGCCCTGCAACTCGAATTCCAGAAAGCAGGTGGATCTATAGCTAGCAGAGTAGGCTTCACGCACAGTTTTTTGAGATTGTCCTTTGGGCAGGAAAGACACTGCTGAAAGCGTATGTGGGTTTGGCCATGGTTGGCCCCAAATCGTTGGCGTTCCTTCGGTGGCCTTGACAGGTCAATATGGATTTGATTGTCGGGTACACAATGGTAAGCCATGCGTGCGAAGTGGCTCGATGATAGCAGGAGGCCGATCGCTGACATACCTGGAGTTATTTTCTGGGTGAGAAGAGTCTTCCAACGTCTTGGTTGGGTTTTTTTCAAGAGGTGGCTGCCCAGACTTGGGAATGAATTACAATTCCCATTTGGGCTTGTCCCAATATAGGGAACCCTTCAAATTTCACATTGTGAATTTCCCTTTGGTTTTGCTATGAAACTCTCCAAACAGGGCATTCCTTAAAACCATAAAGACACACTGGTTTCTTTTTCCCACATTTGACTTGAACATGGACATGATGTGTTGTCTGCTTCCCCATCTCCGTTTTTCCGTGGCATCATCTTGCCCTGTTTGGCGGGTTCCCACTAAACATTGTCACCCCCCAAAAGGGGCCCGGAACGCCGGTCGCTGTTTGTGTCCCCAGTGACTATGCCTGTACTTCGGGCAAAATGTAGCTTGGCTATCTAGGTGCCACTTTTGTTACCTCTGTTTCTAAAGACATGTTTTTTTTCTGGTATATCTCCTTCTTCTTAATTTCCAATTCTCCCCGAATCAAAATCACATTCCGTTTTCGCTTTTCTTGGAGCAGGACCTGCTCCATGGCCATGATCCTGCCGTGCCCGGCGCCCCTGCGAGATGAATTTGGGTTTCAACTGGGTTCTCAGCCCAGTCTGAACTCCCTGGCTGGAGTGGTCCCTGACTTTTTGCCGGGAGGCCATTTCAGTGACAGGTAAAACAAGCGAAAGCCAGGAAGGCCATTTACTAGAGGATCCAAGTCTTGTTGTAGAATGAAGGAAAGCGAACCTTTGGGTCGAGAGAGGTTGGAGTTAAAAAAGTAGGGGATGGGTGTGTGTGGGGTGGGGGTGGGGGTGGGGGTGGGGAAAAAAAACAGAAACATATCTTGATAGAACTCCTACACTCCATCATTTTAAAATAATAATTTATAAGACTAGTCCATAAAATATTTAATAAGGTTAATACATTATTAATATTCATTAACCTTATCTAATTCCATAAAATAAGTTTACTGCATACAAATATTATATAAGGTTAATAAGTTATTCTACATATTAACCTTATACAATTTTATGTAAAATATATATTAATAAAATTAATGTCAATTTTATTCTGCCTGTTTCATTTCTAAATTTATTTTATGCTTATCTGTTTTAAGATGTTGATAATAACAGTCGTGCCTCATTGAACGATTACAAACATCACAACTTACAGTATTTATTGACCTTTCCTTTTTCGCTTCCTGCTTCTTTATTCTATGTTCATCATCATCTTCATATCTTCTTCGTTGCTCCTCATTGTATTTTATTTATGCTTTGCTCTATGGTTTACATTATATTCATTACAATTTCTACACCATAACCTACCTTCTTCAAATTCATCTTCTGCTTTTTTTTTCTTTCTACATTTATCGCAAAATTTAGTTTTATTTTCTGCAATAATCCTTAATATATAATATTTACATTCCTTTAGACCATTTTCTTATAATCCACAGTTTCTAAATCAACATGCCTTGAAACTAAACCACCAAATCCTAAAATACAAATCCCCTTAATTTCAAAACATAAATCTTACAATGTGTTTTTTTTTTATTGTAAGGTTTATGGATTAAATCATAATTTAAGTTCAGGATAATAATTTAACTGATGATTCTATGTTCTTTACTTCTTTCATACATCATTTTTAAAATAATATGCATATCTCTCACTGTATTTTTAACATTAAACTTTTTACGTTCAATATATGATTTAATGTCTTCTTTTACATCAAACCCTTCCCTACTATGAGAAGTAAACATCCTCAATATACCTTCAGTCATTTCATATTTGTCTTACTGATTTTCAGAAACTGTTTAACATAATCATAAGGTGGTATTTCATACACAGTTAATACCAAAATTTAATCTTCAACATTTATTTCATCTATTTGTTTAATCTCCAAAAAATATATATTATATGTTGATATCGTCTCCATCTTCTACAAGTTCTACATACATCTTCTTCGCCTAACCCATAATCAATACTATTATTAACTATTCCACTAGGTAAATTCAATTTGTATAGTTCCATATTTTCTTTTTTGAAGTGGCAACAGTCATAGCATTTCTGTTTAATATACTTATTGATTTCAAAACCGTTTATTTTCTCACTAATATATTAAGTCATTATTTCCTTCAGTCATTGTCAAAGAATTAGTATAAACTTTAATTATTATCAACTTAAATTATTATCAAACTACTTCACATCATAAATCTTACAATATAATTTTATTGTAAGGTTTATGGGTTAAAATAATAAGTATGTGCCAAATATATCCTTGAAACCTTACCATTGAAACCATGGTAACTTACCATTGAAACCATGGTAACTTAACCTCGAAACCATGGTAGTTTACCTAGGGTAGCGTACCATTGAAACCATGGTAGCGTACCCCAAAATCCGGGGTAAAGAGCAAAATTCCCCTTGAGGGCTCATTTTGGTGCCAAAAACTCGAAATCCTTAATCCGTCAAACTCGTCAAAATCTCACAAATCAATTCGGGTGGTATTCTGTATAGGTCTTCCTGTTTATGTATTATTGGATTGTCGCCCCATTCTGCCTTGGTTTTTGGTGGTAGGCGTTGGGCAGTTTCTATATGCTTGCCATTTCTAACACTACCACAGTCCTTGTTACATAATGATCTTGGTTGCCACGCTGTTAGATTACACCAGAGGCGGGTGTGCTTTCTGTAGGGGAAACTACACTTGCAATAGTCTATATCCTTAAATTTAAACTCGTCCATAAACTCCTGATTTTTTAATAATCCAGTTTGTGGATTTTCGATTACAAAATATTTAGGATTAAAATATTTGATCATTTCAATAGTTTTTAAGACAATACTATTTGCATATTCAATATTCCTAATTCCTGTCGTTTTTGCTCTACTGTATTCGGTGCACGGGGGACTGCTCCAAATAAAATCAAAATGGTTTCTGTCAAACTGTTTATAATCCCATTCGAGTATATCAGTATTTATATCAGCATTTTTCAAATCCAATGATATTACATTAAAACCTAATGACTTCGCAATCGTTCCAACTGAGCCTGTGCCAGAAAATAATTCTAATAAATTCATATTATTAGAATTATTTAGATATTTAATATATTAATTCGTATTATCCTTCTTCGTTCTTAAACTGTTTTTGAAGTTCAATAGTTTCTGGCTTTGGAGATTTAATTTTGTTCTTATTTACCATATCCATATATTGCTTTTGCTTATCTTGAAAACTGCCAGACGGACGCCCTATTTGTTTCTTTTCAGAGATTTTATGAATATTTTCCTTCTCTTCATTGTTATTTTTTGGTTCGTATGCCTTTGCATCAAGCTTCTGGTCAATAGTTTTCATCATCTCATATAGCAGTTTAACATTTTTACTAACCGTCATTACCTTCTTTGATAGTTCAGCAATAGCATCATTCTCAACTTCAGACATTTATATATATATATATATAATTATGTATTTAAATATGTATTTATAAAGTTCAATTATGTTGACACTACTCTTTAAATACTAATTATTCATCATTTCACGTATAGTTTCCCGTGCTTCGTTATCACCATTTTCCGAGAGTGACGCATCCTTACCCCATTTAAAAGTTATATTATGAACATATGTTTCTAAGTTGATGCCGTCCTTAGTTTTATCAATATTCATTTTCGTATCATTTTTACTTATTTTGAAACTTGTTGGAATACACGAACATTTACAATTTCATTTCTTGTGTATTTCTAATTCATTTGTAAGTTCTAACATCTTTTTGCACATAGGACAAGCAACCTCAATTACTGCTGTTTCTTTAACAATTTCTCCGCTATCTTCATCTGTTGAAGACACACTTAAACCGTCTTATTATTTTGGTTTTTTCATTTTTCTCATTTATATTAATATTTACATTTTTATTTTTGATATATTGCATTCCTAACTTTATTAATTCTAACGAATAATAACAGCATTTTTTAATTTTATTGTCAGTTATTATCACTTGTTCTATATTCTCTACTTCATCTATTATATTCATACAATCTGAATAACTCCGTTCCATATTAAATAAGAAGATGAAACAATTATTAAAATAATTATTTCATGCATGGTAGAATATTCGGGCTCAGCACTTGGGGTTTTCACTGCACACGCAAGCAAGACACAAAACTAATTATCTTCAATGCTTATTGATTGAAGCAATGGAAAGCCTGTTCCATTATGTTGTTCACCGCCACTCATAACATAATGATGTTCCATCTAATACTAATTAGAATAGTTATTTAAACTGTTCCTTTCTGTTAAAGTTTCATTGCGGTTGATACACTAATGTCTCTAATGTTATTATTAATAACTTCTTGTACAACATTTATCATTTCGTTTGTATATCTATCAGGATAATCTTTCATTTTTTTCTAGCTTTCTGAAGTTTAGTTTATCATCACTGTCAGATGTTGATTTTGGCATTAACGATATTTTCTCTTGTATTTAATGATAAACAATCTAACATTGTATCATACCACATTTGGTTAGTCCAAGGTATTATGACATCACCAAATTGAAATAAACCTTGAATAACCCTTACATCACTTAAATTAATATATTCTCTTGACATTATGATATAGCATCTTTTTTAAAATAAGTATTTGTAATATTATTTTATTATGTCAGAAGTTCCCATTATAAAACCGATACACATAACTGACTATGAATTTAAACAGTCTAAATATGAGCACGTGCCATAACTACCTTTTAGAAGCATTCTAGTTGCTTCTTCAACAGGTGGCAAAACAGTTCTAATTCAAAATTTGATATTAAATGTATATAAAAACTGTGTCTCTCGTATCTTTACTGATAGGCCTAGCGTTCATAATGACCCTACTTTTGTTGAAGTCAAGAAATACCAACGAGAAGAAATGAAGGTGTATGATACAAAAGAGCAAGTATATTTTGATGAATACCGACCAGAAGAATTGGACAATATCATTAATACACAAAGAACAGTAGTACATTGTATGATAAATACTAAAATGAATAAATTTTATTCAATTCTTATTGTTATTAATGACCACGCTGATGATACTAAATTTGTCAGATATAGTAAATTATTACACGGTTTATTTTCAAGAGGTAGGCACGACGCCATTAGTGTTATTTGTTCAACGCAAAAATACAATGTGTTAGCACCAATCATTAGGTTAAATGCCAGTTCATTGTATATTTTCAGGTTGAAGAATGCCAGTGAGTTAATGAGTTTCATAGAAGAAAATTCAGCAGTCCTTGATAAAGAAATTATTACAACTGTATCACACGGCAGTGGGCGATGCTCCATATTCATTTATGTATGTAAATATGAATTCTAAAGACATTAATAAGATGTATTACATCAGGTTTGAGAAAGCATTAAAAAAATAAAAAAATATTTAAAGAATAAGTCTTATATCATCTTATATGATGCCTAAAAAGGTTATGGACTACTCTAATACTCATTTTTATAAAATTGTTTGTAAAGACACTAATGACTTATCAATGTATATTGGACATACCACTAATTTTACTACAAGAAAAACAATCATAAAAGTTGT